TAACTAATCTTCCACCTGTTGGGATTATTTTCTTCTTCTTTTGTTTCTTAATGTTAATGTGTTTTGTGTGTTTTTGCTCTTTGTGTGTTTATCCTATAATAATTATTATTGCTACTATTCCATTGTGTGTGTGTGTGTGTTCTTGGAGACTCTCTCTCTGTGTGTGCCTGGGTTGCACTGTGATGGTGATAATGATGAACTGATTTTTTGCAGTGAAAAGAAAAATAATAATAATAATAATAATAATAATAATAATAATAATAATAATAATAATAATAATAATAATAACAACAGATAAATTTATATTTATAAATGCGTATATATACACATATAGACTTAGACCCATAATTAGTTGGTGTATTTCTATGTTTTATGTGTAATTGGGCTAATGGTTAATACATGATTCTTTGTTTGCTTATGGTTTGCTGGGTTTTTGTGTTTTTTTTGCCCTGCACGGTTTTGGTATTCTGCTTAATGCAGAGCAAAGAAAAAAATAGTAGTTAATACAATTTGCATTCTTAATTGCTTGAACACACCAGCATACCCAGTGATCTGTGTGTTATTTCTGTGCGGTTGGTGCTGTTCTTAATTTGTGTTTTTGTTCACGTTTTCTTTGCTTGGGCGTTGTGTGCTTCTCCGTTTCACTGTTACTTTGTATTCCAATCTGCAGAGAAATAATAATAACATACATAAACATATGTTCTTAATTGCATATACGTGAACTCCAGAAGCACTGTTATGTATTTCTGTGCTTTATGATTCTGATGGTCGTTTTGTTTAATTTCTTTTTTTCTTTTGTGGGGTTAACTAGGATTATCTTTTTTTTATTGGTTACTATGGGCTTCGTTTCTTTAATTTGAAGACTAGTAGAGTTTATTGTTGTTTCAAGTATTATTGTAGCTGAGTGATGCTTGTTGTTGTGTTTTTTTCACTAGTCTTTCTTTGTTTGTGTTTCTTTTTATTTTCTGTTTATATTTGCTTTATAATCGTTTTTTTCTTTTGCTCAGTTCAACCACACAAGAGCACCACAGGGAAATCTGTTGTTATGATGTTACCATGCCGTCTGTTGTATTTATTGGCTTTGCTTCTCAGTATTGCCTCTGTATGTTCTGCGTCTGAAGAGATTCCACCTGCTGCAGTTGGTCCTTCTGGTGAACCGGAATATCTGGTGGTTAATTTTGGTATTGCTAATTATAGTCGTCGTAAAAATAGAGATCCAGCAAAGGAAATCCCTAGTGCTCATGAAGATTTACCACAACCACTTAAGGAAAGGGCACAAGCGTTGAAAGAGGATCCAGGTCATAGTGGTAAACTGAATGGCCCTTCTGGTGGTAAACCTGGTGATAAAGGCCAGAAAGAGCAATTGAAGGCTGCGGAAGAGCCGGGAAAAGAGGCGAGTGAGAAAGAAATAACTAAGGAACATCAAGATACTGCGGTGGTTAAGATAGATGATCCTACTGGAAAACTTCAGGGAATTCAAACACAACAATTATCTGAAACCGCCCCAAGTTCTTCTTCGTCTGTTGTTTCTTCTGCACCACGTGCTGGTGACCCAACAAAAAGTGAAGA